CCCGGCCACCGGCGGAGGATCCCACATGGCGCGCGGACCTCTCCTGCCGCCCGCTGCTCCCCTCAGCAGTGTACTTCGGTCCTTCTGCCTGCTCTGCTCCCCGCTCTGGCTCTGGTGAATTCTCTCACCCTCCCGCGCTTCTGACTGTACCCAGTGCATGTATAAACAAAACAAACAAACAAACAAAATAAATAAATAAAACATGCCTCTATAAAAAAAAAAAAAAAAAAAAAAAAGAATTTAACAATTAAGGGGGAAAAAAACAGACAGTGATCCCCATATGCGAGCACCACTCCATGCCCGGGCACTCGGGACCCCACTCTGGGATACCTGGTATTTGAATTTCTGGCCCATAGGAGGGGTCACTCCCCCCACCACCCGCCCACCATTAGAAGGGTGGATGCTCAGGCCCACCCAGACCTTCCGAGCCAGAGTGGCTGGTGATACCGATGCCCACTCGGACGTGCGGGTCACTCTCTGCTCAGGCCCGCTGCCCGCCCAGGAGCAGAGAGTGTCAGCAGAGCGTGCAAGTCCCACTCTCTTGTCCCTGCCATCGACAAATGCACAGCCAAGTGCCTGGGCCCGCGGCTAACTGGGGGTTCCCAGAAACTGTCTTTCTAGGTGCACTGAGCGGGGGGCTGTGTGTGTTTGGGGAGAGGAGCTGTTTTCGCACCTGCCTGCTTTCTCCAATTGGCTGTGTGAATTTGGGTCAATGACACAGCCTCTCTTCCCGCCCCTCAGTGGAAGACCAAGGTTGCTTTCTCCAGCCCATCTTCATGCTAAAGCCCTGTCACCTGGTGCTAGCTTCTTAGCTTAATGCTAAGGAAAGAGGTTGGGGCAAGGCAGGGGGAGGGAGGCAGTGTACCCGTGTTTATACACCAACATTGGGCCATGCAGAAACCTACACCTATAATGTATTTCCTGATAGGTGCTCAATGGGGCACTATGTGTCATATACCCCATGCGAGGTTGTAGTGGGGGTGTATGTTAGAACCCCCATGTGATCCACATGGGATCGTATTGCCCAGCAGTAAGTTAACCAGCAGGTGGAGAGTTTGCAGGGAGGGAGGTTTGTCTCACCACCTGCAAGTTACATTTAGGATCATAGGCACCCGTGGTGTCGTTGCTTTCAAGTCCTGGTGACTTTTAGGACCCTTGACCCTTTCTTTTTCTGAGAAAGATGAGCTGTTCTCTGCACCCACCATTTCTTCCCCACAGTCATAAAGCAGCAGCCAGTGAAGGCACGAAAAGTCCTTTATCTTTGTATCTGGATCCTTGCCGTTCCTGTCAGAAGGGTGGGCGAGCATCATCTGAAATACACACATCCTTTTAGACTAGTGTGAGAGGCGGAGGGATGTACACACATGCACGTTTAGGTGTCTTTGGGGCATTAGCATTCCACTCTGCTTTTTCTCAGCTACTCACCTTAGCCCTGCCTTACACCTTCCTCACTTTCCTGCTGGGACACTTATCAAGGACCAGCCAACTCGTGTTAGAAACAGGGATGGCTGCGTGGACTGCTAGAAAATTATTCTACTCAGCCCAAATTTCCTTTGCCGGAAGATCATATACTGTGTTTCACTTGCAGCCACGATCAACACTGACAGATCAAAATGCTGTCTTGAAAAAGGCAGTTCAATTATTGATGAGCTGCAGTTACCTGCTTAGACTACTTTTTAAAGCGGAAGACCGGACTTATTATTATGTATCACAGATATCAGAACTTTTAGGGTAGCCCTCTGGGTGGCCACCCCACAAAACTACTAAATGTATGTTTTGGGGATGAAGAAGTAAAATTCAGCAGTTGGTTTTAATTTATTTGAACTCTTTATTTTCTTTTGGGCTCTTTTACGATGCGCCATATATACCAAAATTTGAATCAAGGATTTTTTTCAAAAATGTAAAAATGGAAATAGGGAAATAGAAGTTTCCTTTTCAACTCTGCTTAAGGTGCAATAAAATGTCCGAGGATGAAATCTGGAGGTGGCCACTATTTTTTGGAACACCCTATCGACATTCTCCAGTGAGTTCCAGTGTGCCCCCCCAACCAGGCTGCCAACATGCCTAAGTTTGGAGGCTACCAACATGTCTAAGTTTGGGGCTGCATCGTAATTCACCAGAAGGCTCGCTACGGAGCTGAATTCCCCACGGCCCCCAAAGCCCAGTATGCAGTGAGAAAAAAGAAAAGTGAATCTGATAGTGGACATTTTCCATACTCCCGTATTTAAAATTCAGAGGGCAAATTGACATTTTAATTGCACGCAGATACAGGAAACTGGAAACATAAAGCATTCATTTTCCCCAGCTTGAATGTCTATATCGGAAGCTTCTCTGTTTCACACAAAATATTGCTCTTTGGCACCTGAAATCTGATGGTTTCAGAAAAGAAGAATTCCATGTTGCTTTGATCTAGCAGAGAAATGCAAGAGCCACACCTTTAATATGATAAAGCTTTTTATGTCCCCCATGCCACTCTCCAGCATGCCTTGTGAGGAAGGGACTCAGGATTTCCTGCAAAAGCGAAAAAGCTTTCACTCAGGGAGCAGACGCTGGGGGGGCGGGGGGCCTGGGTGCAGACGACCTCTTTCCCCATTCCCCAGGCATGAAACTGAGCCCCAAGACTCGCAGGCTTAGGAAACAGCTTAGAGTGAAGAATTGTTTTCTCTGAGCGCTGTGCCCGGGCATTCCTGCTAAAGTAGACAGTCATCGCTTAATCTCGTTAAATGACCGTGATTTTGGCAGGTGTCAGCTGGTACAGAAATCACTCACAGGTTAGTTAGACCTTTTTTTTTTTTTTTTTTTTTTTTTTGCAGCATAGGGCAATGAGACAGGACTAATAAAAAATAAAATCTCTCCCCATACCTGGCTGCAGAGGAGGCTTACCTGCCATGACTTACCCCCGCCCCGTTTCTGGGTGGCATGTGGCCCCCAAGCATGGTGGCTGTGTCAGAAGGTACCTAGGAGGACCTTCCTTCAGAGACCAAAAGCCCCGTGTTCGAAATGAGCTCAGACATCTCCTTCCCCTGGATCACCCGCTGTCCTTGACACAGTGTGCCTCAAAAATGCCACTCGGAGCCCGAGGAATGTGAAGTTTTGAAATAGACACAAAACCTGCTGGAGCCTCAGCACCATGCCTTGGCCAATCTGCATTCCTTCAGAGGTGGCAGAACCTTCCAGAATCATTTGTCCTGCCTTCTTCTCTCCTTGATTCCTGAGACCAGGCAGGAGGCCGTGGTTAGAAGAGCAGGCCTGTTATGCTTTGAATGGTTTTTGAGTCAAAATTGTTTGTTTTTCTGCCAGGCAAACTTCAGATTTTTCAGTCTCTGGTCAGGAAGTCACAGAGATGAGAGGAGGCAGGAGTCTGTCTGGTCAAGCTCCATCCATAGGCACCAAGTGACACTATGACTGACCGAAATAAAATGTTCTAGAAAGACACGTTTTTGTGCTTCTCGGGGGACAGGGTGACAGGCACTGTGCCTAGGCCTGGCCTGACGGCCTTTTGCCCACAAGGCCGGTACTTAAAATACTCGGCCGGTGAGAGGCTGTCCCCTGTGTGCTGGGCCTGTGTGACTCAGGCTGTTTGTGTTCAGGCCGCGTGCTGTGGGCCCAGGGCTGAATCAGAGTCCAGATTTGCCTTGGTGACACATGAAAAGAGGGAGCGTTGCATTTGAACTGCACAAATATTATGCTTAAGTATTTTTCCTCCTTCTGGAGCCAAGCAGGTCTTGTTCGTGATAAAATCGCTGCAGTATAGTGGGTGCTTTTTCTGGTCTGGAATCTGAGACCGCGTCAGCTGTGCCAGCCAGCCTGGCAGCAGGAAGAGAGCAAGCCAGGGAGATTTGGAACCATCCTACCAGTTATAAGACTTAATTTTGTAATTGTAGCGATCGGGAGCTGGGTTAAAATGTACTGGTGTGGGGGAGATCAAGGGATCCTCTTTCTCACGGGGAGCGCGGGGTCAGGGCATCTGAAAGAGCCCCAATTGTAAGGAGCCTTTGACCACAGGGGAGGGGTGTGAAATTGGTCAATGACTCTTTATTCAAAGCAAGGGGGGAGATTGGAGCAGAAGGGCATTCTCCTCCCTGTGACTGTGGGTACGTGCGCGCCTCAATCATTTTGATGGAAGATGAAGGGACGAAGGCAGAATCCTGAGCCCCAACCCTCCTGATGGGTTCCTGCAAGTGGCCTCTAGCCCACTGCATCTGGTGACAATCACCTTGACAAGGAGCAAGACACTTACTGTCCGTGTAGACACCCAGGGCCCGCTGTGGACCCGGAGCCCCCAGGAAGCTCATCCAGTCCGCTGTGGCCGCCTCTGGCCTCCTAGAGGCCAGTGGACATGAGAACAATACATCTTCCTGTCCATCCCCTAGGGGATGCACGGGGGAGTCAGCTTCCAGGATGAAAGAATGAAAAGCTTGCAGGGAGAGGGTGAGCGAGAGGCTGCCCCTGCCCTGCATTTAGCAGGAAACCTGACCTCCCCAGGGCTGTGTGTTTGTAACCACACCTCATTTCCCATTGCAAGGGGTGCGCCAGCTAAGCCCCAGGGCCCACTTGGCTGCCTCTAAGACCTGCCAATGGGGGGTTCGCAGGGGGAGTGGCTGTTTGCAGGCCTGAGAGGGCACCTACTCTGCCCCCTGGCTTAGCCCACACCAAGTGGCCAAGTGCCAGCAATTAATGCACCTTCTCCCCGTCCCGTCACCACTATCATCACCACCCTGCCCTCCATGCCCCTGCATTCTGCCCAGTAGAAATGGGTACAGAGGCTTGGGGTGGGTGCTGGGGCCCAAAGGGCAAAAGGAGCCCCAGTCTGCTGTGGGGACCACCACCCCTAGGGAGAGTCTGCTTGTGCAAATCTCCTGCAAAGCCACTGTGGGAGCCAGGGGAGAGGGGGGGAAAGACAAGAGAGCCCCAAATTTTAGCAAATCCACAGTACATTTTCTGATCTTTTGCCTCCCTCCCTCCCTCTCCTCCTGTCTCCCACCCCCTCCCCACACTAGGACATCGGCAGAAACTAGATGATCAGACCAAGCCCGGGAGCTTGTCCTTTTCTGAGCGTCTCAGTGAATTGGAGCAGCTGCGGCGCACGGCCATGAGGGTCAGCCCACACCACCCGGCCCCCACACCCAACTCTCGGGCCTCCTTGAGCCACTCCACTGCCTTTAACCCTCAGCCTCAGAGTCAGATGCAGGGTAAGTACCCTCACCCTCGGGCAAAGTGCATCCCAACCAACTCTGACTTCACTCTGCTCAAAAGGTAGCTGGGGACCTTGTTAGACAGGGTCTCAGGGGGCTCCCCCAGAACTACTGAGTCAGATCTGCATGGAAACAAGCTCCCCAGATGGAGAGAGGCCCTGCCACGTAGACTTTGGAGAGGCTGGGCAGAGACATCGCTGTGCAGGGATCGTAGCTTGAATCGCAGACTTGGCCTTGACTGTGCTATCTTCTTAGTGCCCATGAGACTTGAAAACACACAGACTTCAAGTTCTTATTGCCCTCAGATTATGTGTGGGGATCGTATGTAAAATGTTTTCTTGAAAATATAAAGACATGGCAGGAATGTCTGGCTGCCATCACATCCAAGGTAGTGTTTGCAATCAACACATTTGCCATCCATGAAGAATGCGGGCTACACCCCCCCACCCTCCCCGTGGAGCTAGCTGGCAATTGCAAAAACACTCTAAAATAGTAATAACTGCATAAAACCACTGCAAATGAGATAATACTCAAAGTTCGTTGACAAGGTAGGAACTACTGACCGCAGTGATTATTTGCTCTCTGATTTCAAATTTCTGAAATGCAGCCATTTTCCTGGTGCTATGCAGGGCGCAGCTGTGGGTGACAGAGCCACTGTCAGACCCTTCCTCAGGCGTGTCAGCTCAGGGACAGGTGTTCTGGTGCTTAATAATCAGTAGTGCTTATTCGAAATGTGCACATTGAATATTTTTAATCCCAAAGTGCAAGTATGTGTGGCTGATTAGGTCACAGGTCACAGCACATGGTAAAGGTGGGCGGAAAGGTGGGCTGGGGTGACATGATCCTCTTCTTCTAAATAAAAGAAAATTCTCGAGGCAGTTCTTCCATCATGTCTTCAGAGGTGTTTCAGTTCTTTGATGTCACCTCCAGGACTCCAGCAATGACGTCAAAGGGAACTTCTGTTTCCTTAGTCCTCATCGCATAACTGACCACTTACACGTCTGGCTTGATAAAGGGATGTGCCTTTTTCTGCTGAGAATGGAGCTAAAAGTAGTAAGCATTTGTAGTGGTGACGGAAAATTAGCAGCACGGGGACAGGTGGAAATGGTCTCCGCTAAAAGGGCTTTTTTGAAGATTTTGGGGGAAGAGGGAATCAGATCTGATCCCCCGCCCCCCTTGATAGATATGCTGTCTTTACCAAAAAAGAAAAAGGGGGGGTTTGAATTCTTGTCCTAGCTGTCAGCAGCCCTTGGTTGGTGGACGGACATTCTTCAGCTCTTTGGAATACTGTCTGCTTAGCAGAGTATCGGGTTAACACCGGGCATTGCCAGTTTCGCGTTCCTTTTAAAAGACTTTTTCACTTTTGCAACATCTCAGTAAAATAACTTGCTTTTAGAGTGCCCTGGGGCCTTAGTGGCTACTCTCAAGAATGTGTGAACTATATAGCGGGTATACTAGCTTTCCAAAATATGATTTCTGGACTTAACTTGTAAAAGGAGCAACCCTGGAAACATTAGTATCCAAGACACTTTCATGTAAAACTACTTTTCCTTTTCTACTTTTTTTTTTTTTTTGCCTCTTGCTAGAAGAAAATGCTGTTTTACCCTCCTCATGTTTGGAGTAGATCCTTGGGATTTTTCCCTGAAATTAGAAAGTTAGCAGGGATCAGGGTAAAGTCTCTTTCAGCCAGAACTTTCATTTTGTTCTTGACAGGTAGGAAAATGGTTATTTTGCAGGATTAGCTGTAGAGCTTCTATATTATACTTAAGAAGATGCTTTATATGAAAATTCAGTGTGTGTTTATGGTTTTCTTTGGAATGGTAGTTGTAAGGAATATATCCCAAAGGTAGCTGGTGTGGTCTGCATTGGTGCTGGGCAGATGTGGGAATGTTCTCGGCTCTTGGGAAACATCGGTGGGCACCTGGAGAATTTGTGCATTTACGGAGTCTGGGGGATGCGGTCTTGCTTGAACTTCATCGGGAGGGTCGTGCCTGCAGATTTAGCTCCGTCAGCAGGAAATCACAAATATAAAGTAACACCTCTATTTATCTAGAATCAAATATGCTTGAGAATCACTCAAAACAGACATCTCAGATTATCTGCAGCCAGGTACAGATGAGGGGGCAGGTTGCCATGCCACCAAACCACTGTTTATTTGTTGAGGTTTTAACTATAAAAGGACTGAGGTTAATTTCAACTTCCTATTTTACCAGGTCTTAGAATTGAATGGAAAGCCATGGTGTCGTGGCTGCAGGCTGGTGCAAGCCAAGACCTCGTGAACTACAATCGGGTTGTAGGATTCTTTCCTAGTCGTGGGAAAGGAAGGGACATGTGTCCAGGGCAGATGCTAGAAAGATGAGGTGCTAAGGCGTCAGGCACACCTACCTCTTAGAGGTAGCTTCAGGCAATGCCAGCAAGTCACTTTGAGAATTGACTCCTGACTCACCAAAAATGATGCTCTCTATGCTTAAGGCGGCCTAACTTCCTCCTTTCTAGGAAGATGAAGATGGACTTATATCTGTTGGTGCAAGAAAGTCTCAAACCACAGAAACAGAGAGGCATGTGTGTGTGTGTGTCCCTAAGCATCGACACGGGAGGCTTAACTCTTTTATTGGACCAGTTAGGTTACAGTTTGGCATGGGTCAGACATTACTCCAATCTCACCACTATTCTGTGGTTCAAGACAGAGACCCTGAACCCCAGAGGTTGACAATCACCAGCGACTCTGAGAGGGCATGAGTGACCTGGACTAAACCCCGGCTGCCAGACCAGAACTGGTGGCATGTAGGGTCCCTGGGTCCACACTCTTAGATCAAGGTCTGATTGGACACTGGCTGACCAGTGTCCAGGAGAATCCCCCTGGTCCAAGGGGGGAGTAGGAGCAGCACCGGGCTGGTCATTCATGGGGCCTCCACATTGTGGTCTGTCATCACCGTGTCAATGGTAAGACTTCATTTCTCAGCCGGTGGACAAAAGGGATTTTGGACTGACGCTCCCGGGAGAAGACAGCAACCCCTGTCCAGCTGTGGTGGTAACATACCTACTGCACACCACCTCTTCCCTACACCCCTCTTTGTCTCTCACTGTGTCTCTGTCTTTTTCTCTCTCTCCCCTTCCTTTCTTTTCTAACAATCCCAGAAATTCAAAAGCAGTGAGGGGGTTGCCCTGGAGGCAGAGGCTACCATCAGCCCCCGCATTCTCATATGCGATAGATATCTAAGGATCATTTAAAGATATAACAAAGCAAATCATCCAGCATGCTGGACATCAACCTGGAAGACACATTATGAGGGCACAGAGGGGGAGTCCATGTAAAAAGGACTCGTGTGTAGCTGTCACGGGGTCAGGAGCCTTCCAAGGTCTGCAGCATCGGGAGAAGGCTGAGCCAGGTGTCCCTGCAAATAAACGGAAATAAATAAATGTCAGAGAGGGCGGGGACGGAGGGAGGAACAGTGCAATGAGATGAAGAGCTTCTGAGTGGGTGGAACACCTGGAGTGGCGGCCCCGGCCGGTGCTAGCTCTCCTCCTGACCCCTACCCTCCCGGCGGGCAGGGCACTCACAAGCCAGCAGAGCACGGGCCAGAGCTCGGTCACCCGCTGCCGTGGTCTCAGCCGCTGCAGCCCACGCTGTGCATTAGGGAAAGCGTGGACGGGGCATGCCAAGGAACTGCGTGCAGCCTGGAGGGAAGGAGGCTGGGAGAACGCCAGTCTTGCTTTCGCCTTTAAAACAGGCCTAAGGCCTCTGCCGGCTGTGCCGGGCCCCAGGTTGTCTAGTCTGCAGCCGCTGGCCGGAGGCTGTGGCGTCCCCTCTCTGCTCCCCTGAGGTACTAACGGCGCCTGAGTGGAGGCAGCCGCCTTTACTCTCCACCCTGTTTACGGAGAGGCTGGTGCCGCACCCAGAGCTCCCTGGACGGACGCTGTTCAAACGCCGCCGGTGTGTTTACAAGCACCGCACAGCTAAGGGCTTAATAAAGCAGCCCTTCAAAGGCCCGGCGCCCTGTCAGCACCCTCGTCCTCAGCACCCACGCCGAGCCGGCCGGTTTTCAACCAGCATTGGCATGGACGTGTGGTTCCAAGTGATCCGACCACGTTTTCCCAAGCGTGTTGTTTACGCCTCGTGGACATCTTTTCTAATGAGAAGAAAGAAGGGTTTGCTGCAGGCTTGGCGTTTCCTGATAGACCGTTCCCTGGTAGATTTCTCACGTTCGGAAACTGTCCCGGTTCTTGCCTATCTACGGAGCAGCACACACGCATATACACGTGCATGCACACAAGCACACACACCACACTGATGTGGACAAGGAGGCAGACACACATGCAGACTCATGCATTTAGGCACACAGGTGTAGACAAGAATACACATGCACGTAGACACATGTGTACATATGTGTTTGTGCACACATGCACAAGATGCAGGCAAGTATGCATCTAAGCATGTAGACACACACTCGGCCACACATGCACTTGGTCACACTTTCACACAGTCACACATCCACATGGTCACATGTGTACACAGCATATAAAAGCTTTTGCCCAACAGAGTCACCACCTCTAACGCAGCTGCCGCTGGACCCCTTACTTGGCATCAGTGGTTACTCAGCAGGAGGGTTAAGCTGAAAACCCAGTGACTGAGAAAGACAGCAAGGCAAGGGCTCAACAGGGGACTGCCTTAGTACAGAATTGGCTACCGACACATATTACTGCTTACAGGACTTTTGGTAAATTCACCTGTTGGCACCTCAGTTTCCCTGCCGGTGAAATAGGAGTGATCATTACATTTGGAGACCCTAGGGCACCGTGAAAGGTGGCACCGTGGGCATGAGAGCCCACCCACGGGTAATGCTTGTAATTGTTAGTTGTTCAGACCCCCATCCTCGGCACCAAGTGTATTCATCTATTTCCTGTGGCCACACTACTGCAAATTTGTTAGCTCAAAACAACAGAAATTTGTGTTTTCGCCGTCCTGGAGGCCAGAGTCCGCAGTCAGGTGTCAGCAG